AGAAAGAACAAGAGCAATGTTGAGGGATGCATGCCTAGAAAAATCATTCTGGGCAGAAGCAATCAATACCGCCTGTTATTTGGTGAATCGAGCTCAATCAACTGCAATAGAGCTGAAGACACCAATGGAGATGTGGACTGGTAAACCAGCTGATTATTCAAACCTTCATGTATTTGGAAGTGTCGTGTACGTGATGTACAACTCCCAAGAAATTTCAAAGCTGGATCCAAAATCCAGGAAATGCAAATTCTTGGGGTATGTTGATGGAGTAAAGGGGTATCGCTTGTGGGATCCCACTGCCCGCAAAGTGATCATCAGTAGAGATGTTATCTTTGTAGAAGACAAACTACAAAGAAAAGAAGACGATGATAGCGCTGAAAAGTCAGAGACTACTCAGATACATGTGGAAAAAGAGTTTGAAGAAGGAGATTCTTCTGAAGTAGAACCAGCACATGATGAACAAGAACCAGAGAGTTCTGAAGCTCCAACAACTCGTCAATCAAATCATGTGAGAAGACGTCCCAATTGGCACTCAAATTATGTTATAGAAGGTAATATTGCATACTACCTTTTAACAGAGGACGGTGAGCCATCAACATACCAGGAGGCAATAAACAGCTCAGATGCTTCACTGTGGATGATGGCGATGCAAGAAGAAATCGAAGCCCTTCATAAAAATAATACATGGGACCTTGTTCCACTACCACAAGGAAGGAAGCCAATTGGTAACAAATGTGTCTTCAAAATCAAGCGAAATTGTAACGATCAAGTTGAGAGGTATCGTGCAAGACTGGTGGTTAAAGGATATGCTCAAAAGGAAGGTATTGATTTCAATGAAATATTTTCTCATGTGGTTCGACTAACAACAGTTCGAGTGGTTTTGGCAATGTGTACTACATTGGACTTACATCTAGAGCAACTAGATGTTAAAACAGCTTTTCTTCATGGAAATCTTGAAGAAGAAATTTATATGCTCCAGCCTAAAGGTTTTGAAGAAAAAGAAAAGAAGAACTTGGTTTGCAGGTTGAACAAATCTCTGTACGGTCTAAAGTAGGCGCCGAGGTATTGGTATAAGAGATTTGATTATTTCATTATGTGCCTTGGATACAACAGACTTAATGCAGACCCTTGTGCTTATTTCAAGAGGTCTGGTGATAACGATTTTGTTATTTTGTTGTTGTATGTAGATGACATGTTGGTTGCAGGACCCAACAAAGATCATATTGAAGAATTGAAGGCACAACTGGCTATGGAATTTGAAATGAAGGACTTGGGATCAGCAAACAAGATTCTAGGGATGCAAATTCACTGAGACAGAAGTAATAGGAAGATTTGGCTTTCACAAAAGAATTACTTGAAGAAAATCTTGTCACGATTTAGCATGCAAGATTGTAAGCCAATTTCTACCCCTCTTCCTATTAACTTCAAATTATCCTCCAGTATGAGTCCTAGCAGTGAAGAAGAGAGGATGGAGATGTCTCGAGTACCGTATGCATCAGCAGTGGGAAGTTTAATGTTCGCTATGATATGCACAAGACCAGACATTGCACAAGCAGTGAGAGTGGTTAGTCGATACATGGCGAATCCAGGCAAAGAGCATTGGAATACAGTAAAGAGGATCCTGAGATACATCAAAGGGACCTCAAATGTTGCATTATGTTATGGAGGATCAATCTTACTAATCAATGGGTATGTAGATTCTGACTATGTAGGGGATTTGGATAAAAGCAAATCTACTACAGGATATATATTCAAAGTTGCTGGTAGAGCTATAAGCTGGGTTTCAAAATTACAGTCAATTGTGGCTACATCCACAACAGAGGCAGAATATGTAGCAGCTACACAAGCCAGTAAAGAAGCAATTTGGTTGAAGATGCTATTGGAGGAGCTTGGGCACAATCAAGAGTATGTCTCTCTGTTTTGTGACAGTCAAAGCGCATTGCATCTAGCAAGGAATCCAACATTTCATTCAAGGACAAAACACATACGAGTTCAGTACCATTTCATTCGTGAAAAGGTGGAAGAAGGAACAGTAGATATGCAGAAGATCCATACCAAAGACAACATAGCAGATTTCATGACGAAGGCGATCAACGCTGATAAATTTACCTGGTGTCGATCCTCCTGTGGCCTGTCAGAAACGTAAGCAACATGAAGGTACAAGGTAGAAAGAATGGTGTGAAGATATGATTATTCCAATCAAATCTTCAAGTGGGAGATTGTTAAAAGTCAAATAATTTAGGCACCAAATTAGGCACCAAATGGTGCTTTGTCAAAGTCAAAAATTAGGCACCTAATTTTTGTTGAAATTGGGTAATGGGATAATTAATTTTAGTCATTGTAATTTAGAATATTTATAAGATTAGTCCTTAAGTTTCAACTATAAATACCCTAGCTCATATAGCTTCAAAATCATCCCAAAGCATTATAGCTTTCTTTCAATACTAGAGAGATTTTAGAGAGTTTCTTGACAGTTGTTTTCTCCATTTTATCTAGAGAGAATTATCATTGTTTTCTCCTTGGTAGATCGAGAGAGGTTGTAATTCCTATTTTCTCATAGTGAAATTCTTCTACCGTTGCCCGTGGTTTCTACCCTAAATTTTTAGGGGTTTCCCACGTAAATTTTGTGTCTCTTTTATCTTCATTTTTATTTTCTCAAATTATCAGTTGCGATTTTGCTCTATCCGATAGCCGTCTTCCGCAACATTCTTTGCTTCACAATTTAAGTTGATTAATTACCTATTTCCTCTCTATGTATATATATTTTTCGGGTTAACTTGCATGCCAAATAAGCGCAACCCTAATTTGTTTTGTGATTAATTTGTTTGATGTGGAATGGGCGGGCATAATGTTGGGACCTGCAATGCTTGGGAGAGTGGAAGGATTCCATGGCAAATTGTTTACTAAGGAATTAGGTATTGGAATCATCGATTCTGCAGTAACGTTCGGTTTCACCATATTTTTGTTTGTGATGGGAGTGGAAGTGGACTTCAAGATGGCATTTAGAACAACAAGGAGAACCACAGTGATAGGCATTGTATCCATTTTATTTCCTTTTGTGTGGTTGGTTTAAATTTTTACGAGACCCACAAACAACCTGATGAAAGTATCAGTTTAAGAATGGAACGCTTAATGGGAATAACAATTGAATCCATAACGGCATTCGCGATCGTAGAGTGTCTTATCAGCGAGCTTAAGATTGTAAATTCATAACTGGGACAATTGGCTTTATCATCGGCAACGTCACCACAAGTCATTTGAGCAGCTTTTTTTCTAATTTACATCACTTGGTAAAAATTTGGGTAGGGTCACCGTCACTCGTGGTAGTGCATGTAGTAATAATGTTTCTTTTCATTGTTGTATTTTTCGGTTTCGTCCATTGATGTTTTGGATGATTAAAGTAAATCCTGAATGAAGGCCAATCAAGGGAGCACACATTCTAATCTTCATGAAGTTAGCTTTATGGTGTGGTATCAATGCACTTTTAGTGACGTTTTTTTAATAAACGATGCAACTTTTTTACGTATTGTCGCGTTTATAGAAAGAACCCCATAAAATTATCAAGGCGTTAATGGGAAAGCGCCACAATATTTATGTACATTTGGTGGTGTTTTTTAGAAAAAACCCGCAATATACTGATGTATTGTGGAGTTTTTGGGAAAACGTCGTTATTGATACTTACTTTAGTGGCATTTGTGAAACGCCGTAACAATATTCATATATCATAGCGTTTTGTCATGAACGACGTAATTTTATAGTATTTGGTGGCGTTTGGCATTACAAACGCCACAAGTTTTCAGTCATTTATCCCCCTTTTTCACAACATTTTCGCCACGACATCCCCAAGCTATTGCTCTGAAAATCTCTCCTGGCTTCCTTGCCCTAAATCCAAACATTTCATGTTACCAAGAAACGCGATCTTAAGAGAGCCGAAGGAGAACCTTACTTCTTCCTCAAATCCTACCCCTTCTAAATCCAGACGGACACAACTGATTCCCAAACAACACTCCAAAGAAAACGCACTGTCGCCTCATCCAACTCCTAGCATTCCCCCGCAACCGCCAAGATCAAGAACCACTTGCGTATTTGGCACCCTTCTTTCAACCCTCTCAAACACAAACTTAATTATTGAAGAGAGAGAGAGAGAGAAAAAAAACAAGAGAGGAAAGAGAAAAGGAAATGGGTTTCTAAAAAAAAGTTGATTCCAGCTTTAGGGGATTAAATCCCCACTTTAGGGAAAAGGTCAAATCAATATTTGGTCACCGAGTTTCCAATATATTCTGATATGGTTCAAAACTTTATCATAAAGTTCATTTTAGTCTCAGAATTAGCCAAAAATTAGAATTAATTACTAACGAAAATTAGGAAAAATTATAGCCCTACTTTGGGGCGTGACAAGTCTATTTTAAACCAAAAAGTTTGCTTCGATCAATGGTTGAATGGTTGGTTTACTGCATGCCTCTTTGTCGAAGTGATATCTACATATACGTTAAAAAAGCATATTTCTTCGTCCAATATATAAAGAGTTTTCGTATAAATGTTATTCTCACAATATCCTCACAGGTCAATCTTCAGTCACGGTTCAAGATTTACAGCACCTTTGAGGCATGGAATACCAAGAGCAAGCCCGGGACAGGTTCACAATTCGATTGACCCGAAGGGAAGTCGAGCAACGCGTGATACTTTTCTCATTTGTCACTGTGGCGGCCTTTTTAGAGTACGAAGAAGGTATTGATGTAAAAGATAGTCTGGATAAAGAGTGTACATAATACATATATATTTTTGAAAATCATTGATGAGGAAAACACGAAGAAAAGAGAATTTATTATGATCAATAGTAATATTACAAGAAAATTTATGATATAAATGTACCAACACTGAACTCTAAACAATAAATACTAGAGACTCTGCAGTCACCGTATTTTTTTCTCTTTAAATTATAATCTTTATGAAACAAAATTTGAATTACAATCACTAACAAAACACCTATGACAAAGGTTCTAACTTTTTGAGCCTCTTTCAGCATGTTCCAAATATGAAATCTGTCTCTGCAGCCTCATTTGCTCATGGAACTTCGCTATGAACTTCTCAGCCTTTGAATCAATTCCTTCATCCTCGATTTCATATGAATAGACATACGGACCGTTTTCTTTCTCATCACACCCTTCGTATCCACACTCTTCCGCTTCTCCTAGATCTTCAACGTCGGTTTCGGATCCCGTCGAGTAACTCGTTCTTCCATTATCATGATCATTGACGCTGAAATCGTAATCGAAATCGACTTCCTCAGCGCTAATGCAAGGGAGAAGGAATCTCATCGAACTCGAAGCGAGACGGTGGTGGTGAATCTTGACGTGAAAAATGGGTGTGCCGTTAAATGAAAACTGGCGTTCCATATAATGGCTGCTGATAATTTGGTGATCATTACGAGTGGAGGGATGTGCAAGACCCTTGAGGAACTTGGGCACCAATCGTAGTTCCATCATTAGCCGTCTCTTGAAAACCCCTCCTTTTCTTCCCCATAACACTGCTAGACGCAGGAGGTTCCATGCTCTTTCACCTACAACACTTTTCTTCTTCTTCCCCATTTGCTACGAGAAAACACGGGGAAAAATGATTTGTTTTTACTATGATTTTGTTGAATCTTCGTTTGCTGATGAGTATTTATATTCATTTTGTATCATACTACATTATATAAGGAGTCGTATCATGTAAGTTTCATTGGAGCGTTTGGTATACGAAAGACAGTGAGAGAAGAAAACAAGTTTTAGTCTTTGGGTTAGATTCACTATATATCCCTAAATTATGGATTATATTGTTAGTTGATCCTTAAACTTAAAAAAAATTAATTAAATTCTCAATAACCTTAATCATACCTAAACTGGTATTTAACGCGACAGTAGAACTGTAGAAAGGACTTGATTAGAATGATACTCAAGCCTGTAGATTTAATTAGAACATTTTGAATTTGGGATTAAATTTAAATATGACCTATAGTTTGAGGATGTCACGCGGGATTAACCCTTTTGTTTATAAATGTATTTCTAGTTTGGTAAGAAGTGTGAAGAATGGGCAGCGGAAACGCGTGGGAAACACGGTTTCGCGTGACATAGTCTAGCTGTCCCCGTTTTATTTTCTTTATCCAAATAAAACCTTGTCTCCTTTCCTTTATTACTGTTTTGTTTATGAGCAGCGGAATCCCCCCTCCTTCTTCTTTTGGTTTTATGGCGGCGCCGTTTCTGTTTGGGCCAACCACAAAGCTAAATAATATTCACAAGTCACAGCTGTTTAATCCATAATTTAGGTATGACATGAAATGAGCGAGCATTTGAAGGGTAAGATGGTTAGAGTGTAAGAGAGGAGAAAACGCCGCCGCCGGCAACTGTTATTTGTTTTGGGAAATTAACTAGAAGTCTAGAACACGACATGCTTTTAAGAATGGAAATCCGAAAACGACACACGCAATCCCTCGCGGCAAGTAACACATGTACGGATCTCCAATTCAATGACAGAATGATCAGTGATTTGGAAGTAAACTGATCATAAGAAACAATTGAAGGCATCCCCCCCGATTCCTATGCCTCAAACAACGGTCTTCTGATCGTCCATTGCACGCTTCTGGAAATGGTCGTATGTTTTTCTTGCTGGCATTGCGTCCTAAGCAACTTAATTTACTGTTGTTTTGTTGGTCAAAATAATTATAAAACATCTGGCAATAATGGTGATTAAAGTTGAATTGTTTTAATTAATTACTTGTCTGGTACACCAAGCCACGTCTCTTCTCCAAAATCAGTATTATATGTAATATAACATTTTTACTGACATTAGTTTAATAAATTTTGGAAAGATAATTCTTTTCTATAATTAGATGGAGGATTTAACTAATGTTAAGTCTGATGAAAAATCATGCAATAATTAACTAGTACAAACCAAATCAGGAAACAGAACACAGTTGCAGTTATATCCATGGTACGTACATACGTAAATATGTTATCTAAAAACCAGAAGGGGAGAGCTTAAGATGATCAATGCCTATCTCCCCCTCTGGCAATTTGCTAGAAACTTCACTAAATTCTGGAACCACCGTCGTAAAATGCAACGACTGTGCTATGTAAATTCGAGGAGGGTACTGAGGAGGAGTAAACGGAAGGAGCAGTGGACGGGATGGACAATAACCAGGCGGCCGTTGTGGCACAAATTTACCGGCACTGCTTCTGGTGAACTCTCTAGGAAACCTTGGCGCCATCGACCTTACTGAATGGGGGCTTAAAATAGGCGCAGCTGCTACGAACCGTTGATAGCTTTGAAACTGAGCTTGCCTAGCTCTTTGACGCTCTCTCTTGTGCGCATTTTGATGGCCCCCTAATGCTTGAGAATTGGCAAACACTCGGTGGCAAAACGGACACTCGAATTTCTTGTTTTCTCTGCAATCATCAGCTTCCTCTTGCTCGGTAAGTGAAAAACCAAATAGCTTGAGTGATGAATGTTTATCTGGTGCCATGTCAGCCAAAGATGAACTGGTTGGGATTGAGCTCTCTTCCATTTAAAATGCAGTAAGGAGAGTCTTCAATTATGAGTGTGATTATCAAAGTAAATGTCCTATATTTATAGCCCAGATTCGTTTGGTGCCGACAAAGTATGTAGGATTGTTGTGCAGAATTTTGGTGGTATATGGTAATAATTCATGCAATGATGCCAATGGAATTAGAAATAGCCTAGGAAGTACAAATAGAAATGGTCTATTGTGATGCAAAATTGACCAGGCTCTAGAAAGTAATCAGCGGACTAGGTTGGTGACAAATAGATTAGACCTGGAGCAATTGTTTAGTTGGAATGGTCGTTTCATGATCTTAGGTTGAGATCTTTATAAAGCACGCTGCAGATAGGTTAGCATCGATGACACCTCCACTAAGAACTTTCTGATTCAAGGAATTCTGCACAAACGACGAGCCATATACTAGCTGCTACAACAAATCAACCATAGACTTGTCCATGGCTTGGATTCGACCAGCCATATACTCATTTTTTTAACTTAAAAGTATACAGTGATGAAGCCTTAGTCTGTTTGTTTTCCTCTAATTGGTTTCCGTAAAATGATTTTCTCATTTACCAGTGTTTGGTTAGTGAAAAATATATGGTTAATGTAATTCATTTTCCTGGTCAACTGAATTTTTTAAAATATGACTTACGGTTTGATTTTTCGTAATTCAAAATTTTCACTTCAAAGCATAAACACTCAAAATATTATTATTTTATATATTTAACATTAATATATTATTTTATTATCATTTTAATAAAAATATTAATTATTAAATTATATTTATTGATAATTTTTATAATATAATACAATATTTTTATTTTAATAATATAATAAATTATTAATAAAACTAATATTATTTATTAATTTCATAAAAATAATATTATTGAATTGTTAAATATTTAAAATATATTTCTTAAAATATAATATAATATTATAAGTTTTAATAGTTTAATAATATTATTATTTTAATAAGTAATTAATACTTAATAATACATTATTTTATTTTAATAAATATTTAATATAATTATAATATTTTTATTTAATAAAATATAATTATATTTTATTTGCATTTGCATTTAAAATTGTAGATATAATTTTTAATAATAATATTGACATAAATAATATTAGATACATTATTTTAATATTTGAAAAATAATATTATTATTTTATTAATAAATAATATTATTTATTGCATTTGATGTTTATAATAAATAATTTTAAAAAAATTATCAACCAATAGAAAATGAATTACACAACATCATCCAAGCACTGTAAAATGATTTCCAGAAAATATTTTCCAAGAAAATAGAATTCATTTTCCGAAATCTGTTTTCCATGAAACAAACATACCCTTAATCTAATATAGTCATGAGACAAATAGTTAAAGAAAGCTCAAGAAGTCACAAACTATTTTCTTTCTATATAGCTTCCTATACGATGAATACATACAAAATAGGGCGATTACTTGATTTTCTGAGGTGGTTCTAAGAAAATTTCAATCTTTCAAATTATATTATAGCTTATAGGAGATGAAGGAATCAATATATTTAAAGTATGATAGTTTGGCAGCTTGCTGGATATTGGATGAGCCTCGAATGTACTGGTTGCACTCTCGTAATTATTCGGGTGTGTGTCAGGTATAATAGGTCTTGTGCCCTTTTAGTATTGTTGAAATTTTTCGTCGGTATTACTTCTAGGGTTATGAAAATTGTCTTGGATGCAATATTTTTGAAGTACTATTTTTATCTTACTATTTTGATTTAAGTGTGGATTTTATATGATTTTCTTTGAGTACCGTTCCATATCCACGTTTTATGAATTTTATAATAAACAAGATATTTATTTTTCAAAAAAAAAATGCATACAAAAGAGGATTGAATGAAAAAAAAAAAAGCCAATCATACATATATTAGTGCAAAATTGTAACGTTGATGTAGCCTTAATGCCTATCCCTCTTTGCTATCTTTACGGCTAATTGTGGGTGACGTGTGAACAATTAATTTTGGTTTAAATAACATCATGTTTGAATTTCTTTTCCTTATTTTGCTTTTTCTCCAATATTTAACATGTAAATGGGTAGGAATAGATTGAATGGGCTAATAGGATAATCGTTCTTCTAAAATTTTAAAATAATCATATAATTTAGGGGTTTTTTTATATTTTCTAACGATAATCTGTTTTTGTTCCCTTAAAATTTTATAAATTCGAATTCTCTGGAATTTTATAAATCCGTATTCCCAAACATAAAATCTTACATCTATTCCTTTGTACGAGTCAAACGGAAAAACTCTTTAAAAAATGGACATTTTGGGATTGGGAAGGGACAAACATAGCATGGCATGGTGGGAAAAGAAAGTAAAACATTTGCTGTACATTTGGCATGACTGTCTCTGTTTGAAAACAATATAGGCTAGTGGACGAGAAAGGTTGCCTGCCACTTGCGTGCGCAGGAACATTTCACCACCCTCGTATTCCAGGGCCTTGCGAAAAAGCATAGAAAAAGTTGGGAACTAGGATCTCTCCACATTCAGATTTTATCTGCTCTAATACGATATAATCCTCAACACACAGGTATATATGGGGGACTTATTGGTTGTGGCTAAGCTATAACAATCAATAACCATGTAATCTAGCATAATGAGTTAAGAATTGCCTAGGATGTGCTGTTTTAATCATGCTGAACCAACATAAATGGCCTACGATAGGCACCCTGTATGATCACTTTAATCTCTTCTTTTCTCATTTTCGAATCGGTACAACTTTTTTTTGTCAAATATGACACGAAATAAACTTGAATGAACAACCTGTACGGAAAAAAACATAAAATCTGGCATCAATCGAGGATCATAATACCTATTAAATCATTAGCTTTTCACCAAGAACTAGAGTTTGTAAATGTTGCAGCACCCTACTTTTAGCTTCACAAACAAACAAAGAAAATAAACTGTAGACCAACTTCATCAGCATTTTCATGGGGACAAAATGAAACTTCAACCTTGCTAGGTCTCTGAATCATCATCAGCCAACGAAACCTTACTTAGCCTACTCGGCAACACTCTAGCGACGTTGCCTCTCGCCTTCCTGTTTCCGGCACCGCGACGGCGGCTCAAGCTGTAAACTGCTCTATGTGCAAGTGCTTTGCTGAAGTGGAACTTATCCGAATCCTGGGTCGATACTGATCGCTCAATGGGATTCTCTTCAGTGTTTTAAGTCTGGATCTGATCAGCATTGGCTTTCTCAGTTGCCATTCTGATGCTTTCCCTTTCTCAATGACAATAAGAATTAGTAAGTTCTGGAGAGGAAAGAAAGGCAAGGGCAGGTGGAAGTTGCATGGGAAACAGGGCAAGTATCTGATTGGCTTTATATAGCAAAAAGGGAAAAGATGATTAAAGAGTGCATACGTATCTTTTAGAGAGCTTACCCCAGATGACGGTAGTGGAATCTGAGGCTGTCCAAGGGGCACAAGAAAACCTTTTTTACAGCCAAAGGAGATTGATAATCTCTTTTAAACCTAGGCCTGTTTGTTTCACTTAAAATAAATTCTCAGAAAATTATTTCATGCAAATAAATTTACTCGGATGAACCTAGGAGATTGATGATCACTCACGAGTTCATCATATTTTGTTCCAAGAAATATGATGAATGCATCTTCTTCATGGTTAATTGGCATATTGTGAGATGCATCAGAGTTTAGGCCCTTAAGTTACATTTGGATTAAATAGACATTGAATTTTTAGGATTGAGTTGACCATGTCATGTTTCTTTGCACAGCAAAGTCCTATGCTTCATGCTATGTCATCTTTCAGTGTATTATATCCCGCCAAGCTCTCCCATGCATGTCTTCTGAACCTGCTGACTAGTAACTACGGAAAGTTTATCAAGAGGGATGATCTTGAAAGCATTCTAAAGGTTGGTGATGCTAGGAAAAAATTGGCAAGTTAATATGTATGCCCAATTAATGGATGAAGTTGGGGGATTGGAAAAGCTTAAAATCCTCCTTGGTCAAGAAAAGTATGAGAAGGTGGTGAGGCTTTTGGAAACATATTGAGTGGAAGATGAGTATGAGCCGTTACATTTGATGTGGTAGTTAATTCTTTTTCAGTGTCCAAATGTTCTTTAAGCCGCGGGAGAACTATACTGTCGGTGATAGATTCAAAATACTTTTAAAGATGAGCATATATATACTAACAGAAAAAAAAAAATTAACATGAGAGGAAGACAAATAAAATTTCAGAGTGGACAATTCTACTTCATCCGCTACTGCATGCAGCACCATATACCAAACTTCTCTGGTCCCCCTGTATGCTCCTGCGCATGTGAGAAGGTATGTGTTAGCTTCCTTTATTGAGGGTTAGTGACATTTATGGACTTATTATTTGGGCTTTCTGAGGTACACGCTCATCTTGTAAAATTGTCTATACCCGAATATCTAGTGTTTATTAAATGAGTCTGATCTATTTGAATAATTTAAAATTAAAAAATTCAAATCTGACAAGTTCAATAAAATTTTGTTCTTAATCGTTTTTTCCACTTACGCAGCAGCTTTCCCTGCGTGTTAGGGCGGTTCTTGGAAAGTTCACGTGGTCTTTCAAATCTATTTGCAAGTACACTTCGATGTGGCGAACTTGGTTATCTTTCTGTCCGGACTTTTCGAACTTAACTAAATGATGGTATTAGAACTTACCAACATATATGGTATGACAAACTTGTCCATATCATGGCAATCATGAATAGTTGGTGAAGAGGGTAATTCTGTAAAATCATACTCCATGAACTACCCTAAAATGACCCACCATCCTCACGGGAAGGAACCTGGACGTTGGCTTCGATTCTAGGGACTGGGGCTTATTCCCGTGAACAACAGAGCCAGATTGTACATGTTTGAACCCACATTTTGATTTGAAGCAGTGTCTTTTATAATGTAAACTTTAAACCCTTATCAGCAAACCATCGTTGTCTGCTTTGAATTAACGAACTTGATACAAAATAGAGATGAAGAGTCAAGCATCA